CCATCCCATCCCATCCCATCCCATCTCATCCTACCCTATCCTATCCTATCCTGTCCTGTCCTATCCTGTCCTGTCCTATCCTGTCCTATCCTGCACTATCCTATCCTATCCTATCCTATCCTATCCTACCCTACCCTACCCTACCCTACCCTACCCTACCCTACCCTATGCTACCCTATGCTACCCTATCCTATCCTATCCTATCCTATCCTATCCTATCCTATCCTATCCTATCCTATCCTATCCTATCCTATCCTATCCTATCCTGTCTTATCCTATCCTATCCTGTCCTATCCTATCCTATCCTATCCTATCCTATCCTATCCTGTCCTATACTATCCTATCCTATCCTGTCCTGTTGTGTCCTATCCTATCCTATCCTATCCTGTCCCGTCCTGTCCTGTCCCATCCCGTCCTGTCCTGTCCCATCCCACCCTATCCTATCCCATGCTGTCCTGTCCCATCCTATCCCATCCTATCCCATCCTATCCCATCCTATCCCATCCTACCCCATCCTATCCCACGTCCTATCCCATCCTATCCTATCCTATCCTATCCTATCCTATCCTATCCTGTGCTGTCCTGTCCTGTCCTGTCCTGTCCTGTCCTGTCCTGTCCTGTCCTGTCCTGTCCTGTCCTGTCCTGTCCCATCCCATCCCATCCCATCCCATCCCATCCTGTCCTGTCCCATCCCATCCCATCCCATCCTGTCCCATCCCATCCCATCCCATCCCATCCCATCCCATCCTCTCCCCTCCCCTCCCCTCCCCTCTTCTCTCCTCCCTTCCCCTCCCCTCCCCTTTCCTATCCTATCTTATTCTATAGTGTCCTGTCCTGTCCTATGCTATCCTATCCTATCCTATCCTATCCTATCCTATCCTATCCTATCCTATCCTATTGTATCCTGCCGTACCGGATCCTATCCTATACCCTTCCTATATCCTATCCTATATCCTATACGCTATCCTTTCTTATCCTATATCCTATCCTTTCCTATTCTATCTCTTATTCTATCGTGTCCTATCCTGTCCTGTCCTGTTGTATATCCTATCCTATACCCTTCCTATATCCTATCCTTTCCTATCCTATCTCTTATGCTATCGTGTCCTATCCTGTCCTATCCTGTCCTATCCTATCGTATCCTATCCTATCCTATCCTATCCTATCCTATCCTCACTCTCCACTGACTGTCTAGATGAATCCATGCAAAAAAAAGACTGACTGTACTTAATTCTTGGCTTATCCCATCCTATCCTATCCTATCCTATCCTATCCTATCCTATCTCTTATGCTATCGTGTCCTATCCTATCCTATCCTGTCCTATCCTATCGTATCCTATCCTATCCTATCCTATCCTATCCTATCCTATCCTATCTTATCCTATATCCTCTCCTATATCCTCTCCTCCCTTCTCCTCTCCTCCCGTATGCTACCCCTGTCCTATCTCCTATCCTATCTTATCCTATATCCTCTCCTATATCCTCTCCTCCCTTCTCCTCTCCTACCGTATGCTACCCCTGTCCTATCTCCTATCCAATCCTATCCTGTCTTGTCCTACCCTAAGCTATCCGATCCTCTCTTATTGACTGGGTCTCATGTCTTGTGTTGCCTTTGTAAATGTATTGCACCCTGGGAAAGGAGGACACAGTGGACTGAGTGGATGGGGCGAATCAAGATCTTCTCCTTTTTTTTATTCTTTTTTTTTATATCTGCTGTCGGTACTACTGTGGGTGATACGAGCATCCCCCAGTAGTACCCAACCATACAGATGGCTCCTGTCTATTGGTGGGGACCTGCATCTCGCGATTAGAAAGAAGTTGGGGCTAAACTCGAAGGTTCACTTGTTTTCTTCAAGTACTTGTTTGAGCACTCACTTTTTTTGTTGATTACATACTTGTTATCGCAATGAAGTGAATGGAATATGTGTGTGTAACTTTGTGAGTACGTGCTGTTTGGTCTTCTTAGATGACGACTATGATGAGAGATAGCAATGGTGACAGTCTTGCATATCGGTTAACTGCCACTCTACGGTCTTGCATATCGGTTGAACTGCCGACTTCTTTTTGTTTTCTGTTTTTTTTTCTTCTTTGTCACCACGCTGACCTTGGGAAGCTTGGGTCTTGGAGGGTTGGCTTCAGTTGGAAATCGGAACTCCACGACTCAGAGTTTTCTAATTTTTCAACTTTTTTTTTTTTGGTTGCTGCGTCTTTTAGAGTCTAAACCCGTGATCTGTGCTCTGATGGTGGAGGCTTGCGGCTGAGCGGGTTCAGTCTGATGCTGGCTGTCGAAAACAGCATGCAAGCCCCAGGGCTTCCTGGGCTGCTGAAACACCATGCTCACTGGCGGCCCTTTGTGTAGTACAGGCATGATCTGGGAAAGGCATGATCGAGGGTAGTGGTTTTCTGAGGAGGCGGAGGAGAAAGGAGGAGCACCAGAAGAAGATAAAGAGGACTGAAAAAGAGGAGGATGTGGGTTCTCGACTGAAATTGCAGCAACTGGTGTTGTCACAGTCATTGTTAATGAAGGGAGAACAATGAAGAAGAAGCAGAAGTAGAAGACGAGGAAGAGGAAGAGGAAAGGATGGAAGAAGGGAAAACATAAATGTTGTCGAGCAAAGTAGTAGTAGTAGTAGAAGAAGAAGGAGAAGAATGAGAAGAAGAGAAAAGGAGAAGACAAAGAAAAGAGGAAGAAGAAGTAGAGAAAAGGAGAAAAAGAAAAGATGAAGAAGAAGAAGAAGAAGAAGAAGAAGACTAAACATAAAAGTAAGAATAAGAAGAGGAGGAGGAGGAAGGGAAAAAGAAGAATAATAACCAATGGAAAATGAAGAAGAAGAAGACTAAACATAAAAGTAAGAATAAGAAGAGGAGGAGGAGGAAGGGAAAAAGAAGAATGATAATCGATGGAAAATGAGGAAGAAAAATCAAATAATCAATGTAATGGTAAGATGAAGAGGAGGAGGAGGAGGAGGAGGAGGAAGAAGAAGAAGACGAGGAAAGAAGTAGAAGGAAGAAAAGGGGAAGAGGTTCTCGGTGCTACCTTTGATGGCATCATAAGAAAACATCGATAAGAAGGGAGGGGGGCTATGGAGTACGTCAAGCATGCTACATTAAGTGAGAGGGAGAAAGAGATGAAGAGGATAGGAGGGGTTGATTATCCGTATGTAGGCTACTGATAGGCTGTGAGGGTTGGACTTGACATCCAGGCACGAGGAAAATGAAGAGGGAAGTTGGGAGGGAGAATACCAGCCGCAAGATGTCAAATTGGATGTCCAGACAAGAACAAGAATGGAAATGCCCATTGCGCTTGGCGAGCTGGGAGGGAGATCACAGCTGCCAGATGATGGCGAATTGGACGACCAGACAAGAACAAGAATGGAAACGCCCATTGTGCCTGATTGGGCAGAGATTGTCCAGCTGTTCTCAACCAGGCAACTGTTTTTTAAGGCTGTGTTCTGGTCTGTCAGACAGTGAGGTAGAGAGCTATCTGACTCTAGTCCGTTTTGGAAATGCCCATTGCGCTTGGCCCTCTGAATTAAAACCTATAAAATCGAACAGTGCCCAGGAAAGACAGACGAGGCTGGGTAGCGTTGGTGGTATTTCCCATTCACGCCGAGATGTGTAGTCGTTGAGAAGGAATAACTAAAAGTGGCATATTCAACTGCATGGACCAGGCTAATACCCCCAGCGGTGAATGACACGACCGCGAGCTCAGTGGAGATTGAGCGGCGACTGAGCCATGAGTACCAAGTGGTTGTGTTGCGGAATTCTTCGGTGTGCAGCGGCATCGATGGCCATCCTCTCCGTTTCGTCGCAATCCTTGGGAACGAACAAGGTCCACGCATCGGGAGCAGAAGACAATACGACAGCGGAAAGGGTGCTGGCGGAAGGACCATCACCTCTGAAGTTGCGCCAGGTTCACGTCTTCTTTCGGCATGGCGATCGGGCACCGGTTTCAATTCCCGGTCAGGTGTCTGCAGAGACTACGAAGCTGTGGGAAAGCAGGATCCAACCCCAGTCAGAGTGGATGGAGCAGCGGTCGTATGTTCATGGAGAGACCAAACCGTTTGGCCAACTCACGAGGAAGGGAGCTCAGCAAGCCCGGGAACTTGGTCAGGTTTTGAGAGAACGGTACGGTGAATTACTAGATCTGCCAGCAGAGCAAGCGGAGCAAGGCGACAACACCGAGTGGATCCGATTGCGCTCAACAGACTTTCGGAGAACACATATGACTGGTTTCTATGTGCTGTCCGGCCTCCTTGGGTCGGAAAGGGAGGCGGGGAAGCTGAAGTTTGAAATTCGCGGACCGCGTGAGGAGACGCTTTGTGTTCACACCGACGACTGTCCAAAGCTGTCTGCGGTATGGAAACGAGCGTGGAAAGTGGTTTGCGGAGCAACGGAAGTGGACAGCACGGTTTGCGAGGGTGGATGGCGACCGCACTTCCAGAGGCAGAAGGCCATCATTGCAGCGTTTCTCGGCGTGCCGCCGTCTGAAAACTTCCGGTGGTTGCTGGCAATCGACTGTATGAATTGCAGATTTGCTCATGGGGATCCTCTCCCCGACGGGTTGAGTATCGACGATCTTGAGGAGATCCGGGATTTCGTAGTGAAAGAGCATGTTCAATGCTTAGGGTTCGAAGAACTGAGACCGTTCTTCGGCGGACGAATGCTGACGGAGCTCCACGGCGCCATGAAGGAAGTCGTTGAACACAGCAGAAAAAGCGAGCCGGTATCTCCGAGACTCGCCCTTTATTCTGTGCACGACATCACTCTCTTGCCTCTTCTGACATACATAGGGGCTCCTGTGCGGGCTTGGCCTCCATACGCGGGCGCTCTTTGCTTTGAGCTGTGGTCCACACCTGACGGTCATTCACACTTTGTGAGGGTTCTTTACAATTGGAAAGAGGTTGCACTGCCAACTGAGACTTCCAAGGAAGCGAGAGCGGCCAACCAGCATCCAGCGAACGGGAGGTACGCGGACCCTGAGAGGGAAGGAGCTGAGGCTTCCAAGGAAGCGAGAGCGACCAACCAGCATCCAGCGAACGGGAGGTACACGGACCCTGAGAGGGAAGGAGCTGACGATGAGGAATCGGTGCGAGCTACCGTTCTGACGTGGAAGAGCTTCTGCAACCTCCTTGACAAGCACACGCTGCTTAACACCGATTTTGACCATCTCTGCGAGTTACTCCCTGACTTCAGGAGCCCTTCTCCGCTGAAGCTGTGATTTTTTTGGTATGTACTACAATATGTTTGCTATTCCTTAGGCAACAGCATAGTAGTCAGTGCCAAATCGCATACACAATAGTTCGACAATTGTTCACTGCTATTTGCAGGCGAAGGCATCATTAATTATTCGGTATGTTTGCTGTATTCCCCTTAGGATTATTACCACGTAGTCAGTGCAGTAGTATAGAAGTATTCACTGGCCTTTTCAGCCAATCGTTCAGTTTTGTTTTCTGACAAAAGAAAGGCGTGACTTTTCGGTTTGTTTGCTATTATTCCTTAGGACTATATTACCACATATAGCCAGTGAAGTATAGAATCATTCGCTGGTGTTCTTGGCCGATCGTTCGCCCTTTTTTTTTTTTTTTTTTTTTTTTTTTTTTTTTTTTTTTTTTTTTTTTTTTTTTTTTTTTTTTTTTTTTTTTTTTTTTTTTTTTTCTCGAGACAAAAAGGCGTGATTCTTCGGTATGTTTGCTATTCCTTACGACTATACAACGTAGTCAGTGCCTGCCACAGAGTATCATTCACCGCTGTTTTCGGCCAAAGGCTCGAGTGTTTGGTCTGTTTGTTATTCCTTAGAGGGCGGCATAGTGGGTTCCATGTAGGATTTGCGCACCGCTGTTTTTTTGGGCCAAATCTCTGATGGTTCGGTATGCTTGCTGTTCCTTGGGTTACGACACATTCAATGGCGCACAGGATTGTTTTTCGCTGTTGTCAACCGTAATATTATCTATATCGGGACCTGCGTAGCTTGGCGAACGTGTTCGCGCCCCTCCGCGTTCGAGGGTTCATGCGAACAGCTCGCGAACGTGGTCAGGCGAGCAATGTTCTTTTTGGGGAAAAAAAAAATCTTCTTTTTCGGTTTTCGAGTTTTAACTCGCGTTTGGCTAAGACATTGAGCACGGCTCCAAGGCAAAAGTTGCTTGTATTGTTGTTGTACATGACATATATATATATATTTGGACGATATATATCGACGAAACAGTTTGTCACAGCCCCTCGTTTGTTGTCCTTTTCTCCCTCTCTGCCTACGGTTTACCGGGCAGTTCTATTTGACGATATATATATATATCTATTTGATGATATACATCCTCTTCTCCCTCTCTGCCTACGGTTTACCGGGCAGTTCTATTTGACGATATATACAATATACATATATACAATATACATATATACTATTTGACGATATATACAATATATATATATATATATGATGATATATATAGGGGATTCTGCAGACTGTTGAGGGTTCAGCCTCCTGATGAGTCGGTGAAACTCCGACGAAACAGTTTGTCACAGCCCCTTATTTGTTGTCCTCTTCTCTCTCTCTGCCTACGGTTTACCGGGCAGCTCTGTTTGTGACGATATATATAGATATATATACAGAGACTTTAAAAAATGTATATAGGGGCAGATGGTCTCACAGGTTTTTCCACAGATATTTTTCACTAGTTATTAGAGCTGTAAGTTGCTGAGTCAAAGAATAGCCCTGCAATAGGAGTTGGGACTGACAGAGGTGAGTCCCGCAGGCTCTAGCCTGTAAGCTAAGCTGGCTGATGCTGTCAGATATCCTGGGTTGAATTGTGAGGTCCCCGGCCTCTTCTTGTTGTTATTCAATGATGATATGATCGATTAGAATATTAAAAAAAATAAAAATAAAAATGTATGTATAGTTTTTTATGTTTGCGTTCGGAGGGTTTTGGGCGCTACGTCGTGTTCGGGCGAACATGTTCGGGTTCGCCTCTGAATGCGAACACGATGCTACACGGATTGGGACATCCGTTAAATTTGGAACGATTCAAAGAAGATTAGCATGGCCCCTACACAAGGATGGTACCCATGAATCGATAAATGGTCCAAATTGAAAAAAAAAAAAAAAAAAAAAAAAAAGAGAGGGGGGGGAAGAAGAACAAGGGAAAAAAAGGGGAAAAAGGGGATTAAAAAAAATCATCTATAGTGCATAGAAGTGCTGCCAGCTGTTTCCCACCAAAGGCATAATAATTGTTTGCTATTCCTTAGGCAAGGTGATGTTGCGCAACAGTTCCTTTTTTTTTCTTTTTTTTGTTTGCACAATTATTCCTTCGCAAAGTCTCTAGGCATTATAACTCCTTAAGAGATTATCAGGGCCGCAGATTGGTAGCGCTGCGTTTTCTCGTCTTTGACGGATGGGATCCCCCAGTGATGTTGCAAGGTGGTGCCCTGTGATTGTGAATCAACTAGCCTTTTTTTTTTTTGGTTTTTAAATTAAAAAAAAGGCCAAGTTTTTAAGCCCAATGGAATGAAGCGTGACTACGCGAAATTGCGAATTGTTGTAATTTTTACGACTTTCCAACCAATTCAAAGGCCCTGCTTTTTTTTTTTTTTAATTAAAAAAAATATGGAGAAGGAACTGGACTTGTGCTCCCCATAAAGAATGGTTGTGGAGTCAGGACCACAAAGACCTTGCTTTTTTTTTTTAATTAAAAAACTATATTCTCTTTATTCCAACCAATTCAAGTACCTGTCGAGTCTGGACAGCACGGTCTTTCAGGACTTTTTATTATCATATACGAGATATTATCATTATAGTATTACCGCCAGCTGGTGCCCCGTGATTGTGGACCAACTGGTTCAAGCCTCCAACGGCGGGACATGCAGGGGATGCACCCAGCCTGCAGGTGTGCAATGCTGGCCAGGGGTCAGCCGGTAGCGTCAGAGACCGTGCCATCTAGACCGAGCTCCGCGCCTCTCGTCCGGGTCCCCCTCCCCCCTACAAACATCCCCTTCCCCTTCGAACATGCCCTCCCCCTACGGACATCAGCAGTCTCTGCTTAATACCGATTAGGGGGCGCAACGGGCTACCTCCCTCGTGATGGCGGACACCAAGTCTACCCAAGAAGGTACACGAAGCCAATGGGGATTGAACCCATGACCTTCTGAACGCCACTTGCGGGGCTTACCAACTGAGCCGGTCTGCTGACTGACCTGCTAGTCTCGACTCTTGGGTGTTGTCATCAACACAATTTAATGATTTTGTATGGTAACCAACCTACGAAATAACGAAGATGTACTCTTGACCTTGCCTGTTGTCATCAACGTATTTTTAATGATTTCATGTGCACCAACGAGCCTAGCGCAGTTGATTCACCCACGAACTATTGAATTGCAGACCCAAGTTCGGATGCTGATCGACCGAGATGATGAATGCAATGAGATAATTCTGAGTTGCCGGGACCCAGTCAGATCGATGATGTCTCAAGACCGCCTTCCATGGACACTCTCGCGAGCACTGCATTCCGCTACCCCTCTCTGAGTCTTTTTTTTCCTTTTCCGACTTTTTGAAGACCTTAGGTAAAAGGTGTTCTCTGATTCCCCAATCATGCCATTATGATCAAGAGATCTAACCACATGTAAATGCTATCCAGTGAAACGCCATGCTGACGTTCAGATACATGAACCCTATCCTATCCTATCCCCTCCCCTCCCC